AATTTCCATGAGCCAAAAAAATAATGAACTATTGAGGGAAAACTAGTGGCTGATAAATCAAATTTTTCTTGAGAACACGTATAAGTTTCCGATTTTTTTCCGATTTCATAAGAAAGTTATTTGACCAAATGACTCGGAAAATTATGAGTTTCGGGGCAATTACGCCCTCACGCGCATGCGCGTGTTTCGAATGTCAGTGATCCTCATGGGAAAGCTATGGGTTGGACCATGGAACTGAGAGAGAGAAAACACTCGACAGCTTTACCAACTCGAGAAGCATTTCAATATAATTTCAATAATTCAGTAGCGAAGCGGTAAACCGGGTTAAGTCGTTTTTTACTATTGGCTAGTTTTTGACGAATATCTCGGAATCTAAGAGAGATAGAAAGATTTTTGTCATGACCTTTTTTGTAGAGCTAATAAAGCGTTATAAAAAAAGTCATGAGAAAAATTTAGCTATCTCTCTTAGATTCCGAGATATTCAGCAAAAACTGGCTCTGAGTCAAAATCGACTTAACTCGGTTTACCGCTTCACTACTGAATTAGAACAACATCCAATAAAAATTATTTGACACCCGCAGGTGATGAGAAAAAAACCAATCAATCTGACAAATAAAATCAATATTCAAAAAATGTTCAAACGCCCACTTAAATAGTCACTTGAAAATTGGAAAATTTCGTGCTCAGCGATTGAATCAGGGCTCGCGAACAGTGAGACTCCCCGTCCGCGTCGCCCCCGGCGATCTCCCCACGAAACACCTTAATGTGGCCACGAGTGCCGATTAATTTCACGCACCGCAGAACGGTGAAAGTTCCCCCGTGAATTCCCCGGAAAATTCCGGTCTAGCGAGAGAATTAAGGGAAGAAGAATAACGCGGTTGTAGCCGTTGTGTCGTGACGGGCGATAAAGTGCAGAGGGGTTTTAATCAGGTGACTCGATCGAGCCCAGCCGCAGTGTCAGGGTCGAGAACTCACGTGTTACACTGATCCCTCGAGGGCTTAATGACTCGGCGAGGGTTGAATGGAGACATCAGAAAAAGCTTCACAAATTAATTTTACGGTAACACGTGTTTGCTCAACAATCGCAAGATTTCACCGGATAAGAGAAAAATTCAGCGTCCCACGATTATTCCACGTGCTTTGGTTTTCTCGAGGTCCTTATTCATTTTGGAGGCATTATCGGGTGATGAAGTACCAGTGCCAGTGGTCGGCGGGGTATTCAAAAGAGCCCCTGGGCGCTCGGGTAAAAATAACAAAAAAAAATTGTAATCGCTGCCTGAGGTATATATTTATATACACGTTGAACAGAATATTTCCCCCCCGCCCCCTCGAGTTTACAGCTTAACCCTCGCTGGATATATCCCAGTAGCCTTATTCCACGTTCGTTCGTCTCTGTCAGAATTTAATTTATCCGCTGGCAATTTATATCGTATTTTTATTGGTCACGGGGTTGTTTGTAATTAAAAAAATGTAATTAAGCGAATAAAAAGACTATTTCCCGTCTTTCCTCTGCACACTTGTCAAAAAAATAATAGTTACAGTAACAATAAACATTGTCAATTCAACTATTACATTAAAGTGAAAATTACATTATAATGTTGATGACACTATTTGACGTAGTAAATCGAACGATGAATCCTAGTTTAATCTACAAAGTTTATTGTTACTGTAAATATAATGTCTTTGACAATTCCCTTGCAGTTAAAATTACCATTGAAATTTGTCTCAGTGTGCGGACTCGAGAATTTTCGATAACTCCTCATCTATCTAATTGCAAATGGATTGAAATATATTCGTTAGTGTCTCAACCCCAGCCTTGTATCTCCTTACTCAATGCAAAAGGCATATAATATTTCCCACGTGCGTTGTGTATTCGCAGGTGAGAGGCAAAACTTCTCTATCGTATATCTCACCGTTAACGATATATATGCAACCTGAATACCGTCGGTTTTCCTATATCCCGGCGTTCTGTTTTCTCGTAGCTATCGTATGCGCACTCTCCCCTTCTTGCGGCTCACTTCGCATTTGGATTGAGAGAAACCAAAAGATAATCCCTTTACGTCTTTACCATCCCATTTCCATTTTTCAACGGTTCCCAGACGCGTGTAAGCCCTTGCAATCTCAATATCTCTCTCCTCCAATCACGATTGAATATCGCTGCGATTCCCCCCCGAGCTACGGCAGATTGTTATTGTACAATAAATTTAGGATTAAAAAACAGGAGATACTACTTTCACCTTTATCATGTCAATAATTATCGGGTAACTGATCAATGTAGATTATCGATGCATGCGATTTATAGTTCCTAATAACTCAACCGTGCGGTTTGATATTAACAAGTATACTATTGTGGATTATTATCAATTTCTCACTCTGATTGTCACAGCAACAGATTGCTATCTGTTTTGATTCGTTCGTTCGTCAGTTTTATTTTATTATGCGACAGAAGTTTTGATTTTTCGTTTCATGTCAATTTCGTTCATCGAAGATGGAATGGGACAAACAACAGGGATGCCGCGAGATGAGACTAGACGAGAAACTGCATCGTCTCGTCTCGTCTCGTTGTTAGGAAACCATTGTCTCGTCTCGTCTCGCATCGAAAGCCGAGAGCAAGTTCTTGTCTGGCTTGGTCTCGTCGTGGCTCGTCTTGTCGCGTCTTGTCTCGTCTCGTTGTCAGGACATCATTGTCTCGTCTCGTCTCGTATCGAAATACAAGAACAATTCCTTGTCTCGTCTCGTCTCGTCCGGTCCCGTCTCGTTTCTGCCATTGTCTCTTGTCTCGCCTCGTCTCGTCTCGTCTCGTCCGGTCCCGTCTCGTTTCTGCCATTGTCTCTTGTCTCGCCTCGTCTCGTCTCGTCTCGTCCGGTCCCGTCTCGTTTCTGCCATTCTCTCTTGTCTCGCCTCGTCTCGTCTCGTCTCGTATCGAAATATAAGAGCAATTTCTTGTCTCGTCTTGTCTTGTCTCGTCCCGTCTCGCCTTGTCTCGTTTCTGTCATTGTCTTTTGTCTCGTCTCGTCTCGTCTCATCTCGTCTCGTCTCTTCTCATCTTGTCTCATTTCTGTCACTGCCTCGAATGACTGTCGCGTCTCGCGGCATCACTAATAAACAAAAAAGTCCAACTATACTGACACTCAGCCCAGTTTGAAGTCGACACAATAAAAAAGTTGGATTGGCTCTCTAAATCTTATTTACCCTCAGCTCAATAAAAATCGATTTATGCACTTGACGAAGAAATGAGTGAATCTGCAAGCGAGAATTTTCGGTAGATCTCCGTTCCCCGATCCTTGCCCCTAAATCTTACCGCATCAAAGGTAATTGCCGGTTACAGACGAGGGTAACGATCATCATTTTTTCACGAAGAAGCGACGGGGTATGAATCCACGTCAGACCCCTCTCGCTGCGATACAAAACGAAATCCGCCCATAGACTCCTCTTTACAGCCGGGGCGTACGAGACTATAAAACATGCAAATACCGCGAATGCTCTGGGATTCACCTGCAATTTTTATTGATTCTTTTCCCACGTCCTCCACTTATCCTCCGATCTTTACGATGCGCGCGTCACGGCTCACCCCGTGTAATCGGCCCGCGAGACACTTTACGAGACAAAACTTTGGAGAGCTGATCTCGGTCTCAATGAACATGAAAATCTTTGCTCTCGTTTTACTCTCCAAATACGCTGTATCGACTCCTCTCGTGATGACTCCGAGTCAATTAATTTCATCTCGATCTCAAGTCTTTCGTGTTTTTATGTAAAATCTCGGTGTTTGTCTCGGTTTGTCTCGTCTCGGTTTTCTACATATAAAAACCGCGAAAAACTGGAAATCAAGATGAGATAAATTGACTCGTAGTCATCACAAGAGGAGTTGACACTGCGCATTTCAAGACTGAGACGAGACCAAAAAGTTTCCGTGTCCACTGAGACCGAGACACTTCCTCCAAAGTCTTGTCTCGTGATGTCTCGTGAAACGTCTCGCGGCATGACTAGTCCAGGGTGAATTCCGACGCACACAAGTGCCCTTGGGTGGTCAGCCCGCAGTTATGATTAGCCCCCCCCCCTCCCCCCCAAGTGGACGTATAACCGACGGCTGACGTGGGGATTACAATGCTCGACGCCTCTGATATTCGGTGCGCTTCGTCCACGTCTCCACGATTATTCACGGCCCATCAGCCGAGCCAGCAACAACGTCAAATTAATTCACCATCAATTTTTCCACCATCAACAGCCAGCGAATTATTTTTAAAATCCCATTCCACGGGCAATTAACACACAAGCACAATTTCAATCCAATTTATACCCCTCAGTCTCTCCCACTTGTTGTTTTATGACGATCTATAATCCAGTTTGCGTCTCTAAAGTACCTCTTCCAAGGCGGTCTAATTAAAGTCCGGTTTCCTCTTTAACTTGTTTCAGGTACGTTCACCGTCCTAAGATGTAGAACCATAGCGTGTGTACACTGGCTATTCCCCCCGAGGGCTTCTCTCCCCGTGGTAATCTATATATTCACAATGATGGGTGGCGCTGGGGGGGAGGCGATGAGGAGGTGCAGCGCCGTGGGAAAGCCGAGGATCACCGGAAGCGCAGCGGGGTGTATCCGTTCGTACCCCAGACACGTCTTTATCCGCTGATTCATTTTTTTTTCGCCACACTGATGATAGAGAGGATTAGTTGTTGTTGACAAATGGATTTGGGTGGAGGCTATGTATACGTTTATGCATATATTTGATTCTGGTATCTCTCTGAGTTATGAAAATCCAAAGCGACTGGTGATAAAAAATTGGTAGTGGAAATTGAGACTCCAAGTAGAGGTCATAAGGGTCAAAATAAGGGTTGCAAGGGCCAGAATAAGGGTTACAAGGTTCAGTTTAAGGGTTAAAAGGGTCAGATTAAGTGTTACGAGGGTAAGATTAAGGGTCGCATGGGTTAGCTTAAGGGTCATGCGGGTCAGAATAAGGGTCTCAAGGATCAGAATAAGGGTCTCGAGGTTCAGAATCAGGGTGATGAGGATCAGAATAAGAGTCGCGAGAGAACCGGCACAGAATAAGGGTCACAAGGTTCAGTTTAAGGGTCACGAGGATGGGATTAACGGTCACGAGGGTGAGATTAACGATCACATGGGTCAGAATCAGGGTCATGAGGGTCAGAGTAAGGGTCATGAGGTTCCCAATCCCGGTCATGAGGATCAGAATAAGAGTCACGGGCGACGAGTCACAGAATAAGGGTCACAAGGTTCAGTTTAAGGGTCACATGGGTCAGTTTAAGGGTCTTGAGTTTCAAAATAAGAGTCACGAGAGAAGAGTGACAGAATAAGGGTCACAAGGTCCAGTTTAAGCATCACAAGGGCCAGATTAAGGGTCACAGGCGTCAGCTTAAGGCTCACGAAGGTCAAAATAAGACTCACGAGGGTCAGATTAAGGGTCACCAGCCCCCTTGTAAAACATACTCAATTCAAGTATATATTTTTTTCAGTACTACCATTCGTTAATAGTTAACGCATCTCGTTTGGAATAAATTCATTGAATCAGCCCCGATTACAAGTGGAAATTTTCCCTCCGACCTCGACGATTATCATGCATGACTAATTTGACATGAAAAATGCAACAGCCAGGAGTGAAAGAACTCCCGCAATTTGAAATTCTTGCGCGGCAAGTGGTACTCGTGATAACGCCTTTCGTCGTCGACAATTAATTCGTTAATTAGTGAGTAGGAGAGAAGGGGAAGGGGGGGGGGGAAGGAGTACAGAGTAAGTGCATTGTTACAGAGGCGTGCAATGCCTTAAGAGTGAAAATTTCATGGCCTTGCGTTCACAGCTTGCGTCACATTTATCCACAGGAGACCCTCCATCCACGCCATTTAGGTGTACATGGTGCTTGTGGTTTGTAACAAAATTATCTCATTAATTCGTGAGGTAACGAGGATGCCCTCTTGAGATAATTAAAGTGAATTGAGATTTTGAACTGGTCGTGTTGAGACCCTTTTTCGACTGGGTGATTAACCTGGTCCACTTCGAGTCATCTCAATCTACTGTAATTTTAAAATTGAACGAAAAATTTTCTCCGTGACTTCGTCGCGGGCTGTACCCCGTCATCAATAGAATTCCCACGAGGACAATGATTGCTCACGCTATTCATTGGGGGGATGGCATAAGAAGCTATCAGCGGTGGTTTATGCACGTACACTCAGTGGTTCCTGTGCAAACAACACAGAAATGCTTCCAATCCTTTCACTTTTCCTATTCAATTTAGAGTCTGATTGTGAGTTTGCGCCTCCCCGATCATCTCTGAATAGTGGGTCTGTGGGGATTTACTTGACTTTCGCACGACCCGCATTATCCACCGGGAAACGCATCCACTGGTGTTTCCTGTCTTCATCCTGCCTCTTTGTGGCAATGCAAATGCGAATGAGGAATCGTTTTTCGCGGTTTAAAATGAATTTAGCAGCGAAACGGTGAAATGGTTCGAGCCGATTTAGCCCTCTGCTGAGTTTTCGAAGAATATCTCCGAATCTAAGGGAGATAGCCAAATTTTTGTTATAACCTTTTTTATAGAGCGAATTGAGGGCTACAAAAAAGGTTATTACAAAAATGTTGCTATCTCCCTTAGATTTCGAGATATTCCGCTTCGAAAATGAAGAAATTTCATTTTAATTGGCTAGCAATTTTGAGGAAAGTGGCATTGAACTGGATTTAGGGAAAAATTCACTGAAATTCAGCAACCTGCTTGAATTTTTAATCAAAATATGGGGTTTCCTAATTTCCACGAATTTTTATGGAATAATTGAAGTAGAATTTACAGCCTCCATTGAATTTTCCATAAAATTTCGACGAAATGTCTTGAAACTTCAATGTAAATTTAATGTGATAAAAAAAAATCCAAGAGGTGTACCGGAAAATTCAGCGAAAAATGCAACAGATAAATGTGCCACATGTCCGTTTTATTGAGGAAAAAGGAAAAATTTTTAATGATTACCAAGACGAGTGAACACGCGAGAGCAGTAAAACCCTTGTCAAGCTGGCTGAGCCCAGCTGGTGTCCACAATATACCTCAGCACTTTGTCCAAGTACACATTAACTTCAGCGTCTAGCCCCTCAATTATCCAGTCATTAACAAAGTTGAACAAGAAAATCCACTCGTAAAGTAAAAAATATCGCGAGTCAACACAGCTTGATTATCCTAAGATAAAAATAAAAGCGGAGAGTGAAGTGTGTCGGTGGGGGCCTATTGAGATAGGCTCGATCTTCACCGGTGTTATTTCACCCCATAAAATATAAAACGATAAGAAATCGACGTTTTATTCAGCTGCCAGAGTGTCCATGAATCGATGGCGACACCGATAACAGCCATAAATACATCACAATAGAATTTTTCATCTTCCAGTATGTCCGCCATTTTAAGCCAATGCCAACTCCCATAGGTAGGATTTTGCATAAACGATCGGGGGAGATGTATCTACGTGGATAGTAGCCACGCCACGAGGGGTTACAAACAGTCGGAAAATATTGCCCAGCGGTAGGCATTGCCATGAGGGTTATCTTATAGAAGAGTCGATAAGACTGTTGGTGGGGCTCCAAGAGCTTTTAGCTGCGTGGGCGGTACAACAAGTCTCGATACTCTATGCGACAGTCAGCAGTACTTTATAAACGTACTTTGTACGTATGCACTTATGGGACTCACAACGTGAGAGGGCGAGCTATCGGAATTGGATCGGTGACTCCCTCTCCCGCCGCCCCACCGCTCGACTCATTCGCCACGCGCGAGAGCAGCGCCACGAGCGCCCCCGCGCGAAGGCGTCTCGAATTACTGATAAATGGTGAGCAATAGGCGTCATTTATCGCCTCCAAGCGATTATTACAATTTATAGAGCATATCCGGGGCAGGCTGACCACTCGACTACCCAAAGTAGTGGGTGAAACACTTGATTTATGCTGACAAATATATATTTCAACTCCTTAAAAAATAATTCCCCCTCCCTCTTACTCTGTAGAGGTTTCATTGGAGCCCTTTCTACTCCCGTTACGAGCCACGAAGTACCGCGAAATAGTTTCCAATGTTTCAACAATTGGTCGTAACACTTGTATAATAACTCGGTTCGGCCTCTTGACTGGTTTGTGAGTATAAAATCGCTGGGTAATTTCATCCCCGCGTTGCGAAGCAAGAGTGCATACTGCACCTTCGGAGAATCATGAAATTTAAACTCTAAGTAGTTACCAAAGAGTTTTCAGGGCTATCCATAAAGCCCCAAAGGCACGGCTGTGCACATGTACAGGGGTCCTTATGCGAGCATTATCCAGTGGTCGTAAAAAATTTTAGACTAGCTACCATGTCATGTATAAGGCATGAGTAGCAAGAGTCGGATGCACCTCTTCCTCGTCCCTCCCTCTTTCGCGAACTGCATTCTCTCACTCTCTCGCACTCTCTCTCTCTCTCTCTTTCTCGCGGTTTAATCTAGGGTTGAAGAACGCGGGCCGTAGTCCACACGCTTCGCTCCACCAAAAGCCATCCTTCATATATATACATGCAATGAATAAATGTTAATGCGAAAGTAGACGGGGCACCATAATAATTACTTTACGGCACTTGAGCCCCGCGCGCACTGGGTGTAATCACTTTAATAGCTGGCCATGTCATGCCCGTATACCGGAGAGAAGAATTCTTACGCGTTAACGGCCGGGGCCTTTTACGAGGCCACCCCACCTATTCTGAGTATTGGAGTGGGACCCCCCCTCGAGGCCTCTCTGGGGAGGGAACGAGTTGCTGGAGGAAGATCTAGGGATGCACGAGAGTTTTTAAATGCTCACTTTAACGGCACGTTAATTGCCGGCATCTATCTCACTCCGGCGGTCCGAAAAGCCCAGCGAGGACTCTTCGGATGACATTACGTAAATTTTTTTACTTCCAGGAGCTGTTGATCAATTTTTTATGACATTTCCGGTCAATTTCTGGGGAGCATGCTCGAGGAAAATTTATAATATGTGGAAAATATCTCAATAGAATTGCCTGGCGAATTGGCTAGGTTTTTTTTTTTTTTTTTTTTTAATTTTTTTTTTTNTTTTTTTAACGCCCTCGGAGTCCCTTTTCGGGTCCCATTCGGCACTCTATCCAACCCTATGCATGCGGCTGTGGATTCTACACTGTGCCGCATTCGCAGTCCTATAGAACATAGAAGTAGCATGGGGAAACCACAGAAAACCCATGCCGGTACAGGCGGTTCCTCTATTAGCAACCTCCCGCTCGCCGGAGTCTTCCCTTGAAAAATTCGGTCCCACAGGGAATCGAACTCACAACCTTTCGCACACTAGACTTGCGTCTAATCCACTCGGCCACAGACGTGGTTTTTTTTGGCTAGGTTTTTGTACTATTTTTTTTTCATCCCTGAATTTTTGTCGAATTGGAGTTCCAATCAAATTTCAAGGAATTTTGTTATTGAAAAATCGCGGTAAATTTCGGGTTAATTATTCCGTCTCGCGGGCTCAGTGGTCAAAAAGTGGGGGTTAAAAGGTCAGGGTCAGAATGTTAGGAACAAAAAATTAGGGTCAGAATATAAAAGTAAAATGTCGCGGTTGAGTGCGGGTAGCGAAAGAGACTCGCGGTTTAAATAATGAAGTCGTTGGGTAGCACGTCTTTTCAATTAAGCGACATTTCAACTGAAATTTTCAACAACAACATATCAACCAATTTTTGAGAAATTACTATATTTGTAGGAATTAGCCGAAATTTTTTTAATTTTCATTATTTTTATTCTTTGTTTAATAATTATTATTATAATTATAAATAATTATGCAATAAACAATTATACTTATAATATTATATTTATAATATAATATAATAAAATAGATATATTTTATTATATTATAATATAAATAAATACAATGAAAAAAAATATAACATAATATTTATTATATATTTTTTATTTATATTATATTCATTTTCTAATTATTTATAATTATCAAATGAATATTAATAATTATAATTATAATTTAGTATTAATATAAATAGTCAATTTAATATTAATAGGCGCCATTTCAACTAACAACAATAATTAATAATAATTACATTCGTCTGGCGTGTATTCAAATCCGAGCAGTTGAAATGTCCTATAAATTTTGGCACTCATATCGTCGCTGTGCTGTAGCTGGCAAATAGCTC